AATAGATCTCATTTCTGGCTGAAGTCCACAGTGAGCAGTGACAACGAAACTTTGCCATTTTACATTTATTTCTAAGAGCATCTCAAAATAAAGAAAAAGCAATAAATAGGCGATGCTGAATCTCCTGAGTATCCGTTCAAGTGTATTAGAAACGAGCCCCTGCCTATCATTTTGTCACCCTAACGGAAGAGGAATAAGAAGGTGTGGGGTGTGTCCCTCAACAACTTGGGAGATGAGGATGCCTTGCCATCACCCACATCACTGGCCTCATTAAACCTCAAAAGCCAACAGTTAAGTTTGGGGAAATTATTCGTCCTAATAGGAAGACATGGACAGCTTGTTTCTATCGCATTCTGCGTGTGTGTGTTTGTGTGTGTGTGTGTGTGTGTGTGTGTGTGTGTGTTTACCTTTTATTTCCCCTGCGTATTCTTCATTTAGAGGTATGCTGGATATATCAGCTTTTAAGACCTACTGTTACTATGTAACTGGCTCTATACTCATCCACATAATGAGCAGGAAAATGTACTTCAACATCATCTAAATCCAACATGTTAGTTGTTATAGTTAGTTAGTAATAACTAAAATAAGATAAAGGAAGGAAAGCAATCCATGTGTATTAGTAAAATACACATATTGGTCTGTTGTAAAGATGCTGATTACTACCTAAACCAATAATCATATCTTATGAATGAGAATGAATTGGAAAGTTACTAATTAACTAATAAGAAATCACATTTTACACACTGTAAAAAAAAGACACATACAAATAATTAAATTCATAGGTTAATTCCAAATAATATTCAGTTGATGTTACAACTCACTTTATGTAATTTAACAAACATTAATTTTACACCTTTCATTTGAAGGGCTTTGATGATGATTTAAAAGTGACATGTCAGGGATGTTGATAAAGGTGGAATTTCCTGAAGGAGAAAACATTATATAAATACCATCTATACTTTATGCCAAGTTTTGGAAGCTGGAGAGAGCTATATCACTGAATAAACTATTTTATTCATTATCATAAGCTCAATTAAGATAACTTCAGAGATAAGAAAAGGGTACCATGAAACTAAGTACTTTAAATTTGGATCCCAAGAGAGTTAGAAAAGGAGATAGAATTAATACAGTTTAAGCAGAAGGGGGAATTGATAAGGTATGCCAGAAGTAACATTTTAAGGATGGCAAAGGTGTCTGAGATTTTCACAGTTTGGTTTTCTGATAATTTAAACCTCATTGTAAAGAAGGTATTATATATCTAAGTTAAACAGCTTTGATTAAAAGTAAATTTGCTTCTTTAACTTGTAATTCTCATTTGTCTGAGAATTCAATCTCCAACTTTAAAAAAACAGGAGTATCTGTGTGATACTGGCATTTAAAAAATGTTAATAAGCATATTGCCATCAAAGAGTAATTGTCTAAAATAGTAGATAATGATATGCAAAACGCTGGCCATGACTTACCCTAATTAAGTAACACGATTACAAGACAAAATAGTGAAAATAAAAGTTCTAATTTCCCTGCCACTGTAGCACCCACCACTTGCCTTATTGTAAGCCCAAATGTACCCACTGTGGCTTAAAACTGTCCATGTCAATTCCACAGCTGTCAAAGGAAGCACACATTTTTGGTGGCATTTTGAAATGGACAATACACTTTTCCAAGATAAATCTTTTTCATTGCCACTTTGGAAAGGTTTAGTTTTTCTTCATGTAATTTTTTGCAGCTGTACAAAACACTTTCATTAACCCAAGAATGGATTATTTGGAGTGCTAATTAATTGATTCTTCAAAATGCCAATTGACACACTCCCAGGGAAAACCTGATCTAAGCAACTATGTTAATCAAGCTATTGTACTTATGGTTCTGCCTGAATATCAGACCATCTGAAATGAGGGGAACTTTGCCATTACTCGCCTGGCCCTCTCGTGGGCAGCTAATTAATATGAGCTGAATATGACAGTTGTACTTCTCCGTTCACCGTACCGCCTGACAATGACTCTATAAAATTACATTTCAGCTAAAGAATGGAAACAGTGTTAAATACCATTATTTGCCTTCCTTTGATGTCTCAGAGTCATTATGAAAGCAATTACAGCAGTTTCTCTGTCTGTATGTCTACGGGGTATTTATTATCTGTATCTGTCTGAATCCTTTGCCAGGTGGAGAATATATGGCATATTAAAGACAAGGGAATTCAGCCACAATTATCAGGATGGGAACAGAGAAAGAAACAAAATCAGAGTTTTGCAGATGATCCTGCCAGAAAACAGTAATTTAATATTAAAGCCTGGTGGTCTGGGGAAAACTTGCAGTCTCTTTTTATTTATTTAAATTAAAAAAAAAAATTCTCCAGGTTCACAAAGCTCATGAATCTAGGGCAGAATTAATTAAAACCAATAGGGAAATGGAAAACACAAAAACAAAAGGAAAGAAAAAAAAAAAAACAATTCAAGGCAGCAGTAGAAAACATATTTTGTTTCTTAATTATAAGTGGATATTCTCCCTTTCAGCCAGTCCTTTCCTAACCAACTGGTACAATCCACAAGACAGACTTTCCACCCCAGATAAAATTACCTGTGGTGTTTCTCACACATGGGAGTGACAGACGCAAAGAAAGCCTCAGTTTTCCAAGACTTTCCCCACGCTGTTGGAATCTGGTATGATTCAGACACATCCATGTGTATCAGGAGTCCTAGCTCCTCCCTACCAACCATGCCTCTGAATTCAAAGGACACTTCTGACTGACAAGCAAGGTGTGGATGCTGACTGCCCCATGGAGGAGTTTTTTCTCCAAGACACTGTCTGTGGACTGGCCTCTATATGATTCAACTCAAAGAATATTGATTGTGCGCTCCCTATATGATCAGTTCCGTGGACATTGGGGAGAAAGAGTGATGAAAAAGGCCTATGGGATGAGGTCTCTGTCTTCATGGGACTGTGGGAGGGAGAGAGAGCCCCACTGATCTTGAGCCCAGCTTGGGCATTACGACGTTTCCTCTGTGTAGCAACCATACAAGATGGAATCTATCATCTCCATTTGTAGATGAACAAATCACAGTGCGGGAAGGTGAAACAATTTGTCTGAAGTCACACTTGTGTGGCAGAGCAGGGCTTTTAACTCCACTTCTGTCTGGCTCCGAAGTCTGTCTCTCTCCATGAGCCCACACTCTTCCAAATGCCCAAGCAAACACTGGTGGGCAGAAGGGGTGAAGAAGGCACCGAGTGCTGCCAGCTGGGAGGAGTAAAGGGTAATTTAGAGGAAGATGCTGGAGAGAAGATTCTGGGAGGACTTTTGACTTGCACTGGGTCTTGCAGATGTAAAAGCATTTTAGTGAGGAAGGGGTGGGTGTCCCAAATTTCCTCTCCTCCAGGATTCTCAGTTAAGACACAGAAATGGTCTCTTGTATGATGAAAATGAAGGACAGACTTTGTGATTTGGAAAATATCACATAGTGATAAGTGCTGATTAATATTACTGATTTGAGCAAGAATGACTTTGAGACAGGTGGAGACAGAAGAACCAAGATACACTGAGAGGTCATTGAAGAGATTGGCAGCTTAGAAGGAAGGGTTGGTTTCCTTGATGTACTGTGTCCATAAAGTTTTGGCCGTGCATAGCCCGGAGAGAGCAGGATGTCTTTGGGTGGAGATGAGCTGATGCAAGGTTCCCAGGCAAAGAGAATCAAAAGCACTCCCTGTACTAAAATGAAGAGTTTCCTCACTCAGCTACAATGAGTGATTCTCTTTTTCTCCTTCTCGTCCTTCTGCTGCTTCTTTTCTGGCAGTACATTGGAGAAGTTAAACCACCATTCAGAGTAGGCAGGATGCTCTAACCATGCTGCTTCCAAGAGCGCATTCCCCATCCCAACTGCTATCTCTGCTTGCAAATATAATATTGTTTTGACTATTGCAAAAAAAAAAAAAAGTCAGTCCCTGAGACCTTTAACAAAGGGGCTTAACTGGACACGGGGCTGAATATAAAGTTGAGATGATATCACCTGGAGTCAGAGAAAATACATTTATTTACAGAGAAGGTCTTTGGAAACATTTCATTTTTATGCCATGTAATTTCATCTCAAAAAAGATCATGGTGTTGGCCATCCCAATACATACAAAGACTCTTGGTACGAATTGAACCAGGTTTCTCTTTTGTCTCCAGAACAACACCAAAAATGTTTATATATTGTTCAAATATGTAATGGACTACTTTGTATATCTGTATTAATATATAAACAATTAAAGTAGAAAACCATTTGCATGGAGAGAAAATGGCAAAGAGCAGCAGGGTGAGAGCAAGCTGGGTTCAAAGTCAGATCTTTTGATCTCTGCACATCTCCATTTCCCCTCCTTAAATAGAAATGTCATTTGCCTTCTATGGTTTCTATGCTGCTCTAAGTAAAATAAAACAGATCCCTTACCTAGCACTGTATCGGGCACATAGCGGGTGCTCAATACACGTTACCACTCTTTCTCTTTCACTTTTTAATTGGTGTACCAAATTTTATTTCGGGTAGAAGAAGAGATTGGCATAAAAGCTGCTAGTAACAGTAAAAGCTGGGAACTGCTTCAACAATTTCAGCTTTGAAAGACGCTTTTTATGTTTCTTTCATCAAATATTCAATTCTTCCTATAATCAATGACAACTTTTATTTTTATAAGGCTTATAGTCATCGTTAAATCATTAGGAGAAAAATCCTTCAACATAGATAAGTCAGGATGGGCTATGTTATGCTACAGTAAAAACCATTATTTTTTTAAAGATTTTATTTATTTATTTGAGAGAGAGAGCATGAGCGCACAAGCTGGGAGAGGGGCAGAGGGAGAGGGAGAAACAGGCTCCCCGCTGAGTGGGAGCCCGACACGGGGCCCTATCCCAGGACGCTGGATGCTGGGATCATGACCTGAGCCGAAGGCAGATGCTTAATTGACTGAGCCACCCAGCTGCCCCAGTAACAAACCATTATTAAAAGCAATTACCCCAAAATCTCAGTGTCTCAAAGCAATACCAGTTGGTTTCTGATCTCTGTCTGCAGGCTCTGTTCCATGTTGTCTCCCGTTGAGGACTTGCCCTGTTCCTTGTCCCTGTGGGAGAGGGGAAGAAAGCTGGAGGGTCACTTGAGTCAGCCTGAGGGTGACTCATGTCACCTTTTCTCATAGCGAATGGGCCAGTGGTCACACGGCCCATCCAACCCCAGGACCCCAAGTTCAATCCTACCATTTTCCCAGAAGAAGACCTGAACATATGTGGTGAATTGCATTACTGGTGACTACAGTGGTCTTAGAGGACATGTGTTTCCAATCCGTTCTAATAAATGTCGTTTGTTGCACTTAAAATTGAACAGAACAGACTGAAAAATCAAACCACCCCTCCTCTAGGACAGCAAACAGGTCTTATAATACTTTCCTTTAATTCACTCAGTACCAGGTGGTCCTGATTTTCCAGCTGAGTTTTTCCTTTGAGACCAGGTTTACCCCAGACCCCTTCGGCACTGACTGTAAGCTCAGGTAAAAGTTCCTCTCCTGGCTACGGCTAGCACTTCCTTTTGCTCCCCTGATCAATAATTCTAGCTACAAAAAGCATCAAACATCTCTAAGACATCCCAAAGCATGGGTCGCCAAAGGGAATAAAAAGCAAACGCCGCATAGATTAATGTTCTCCTTAGGCTGCCCAGATACCCTTGTAGGGCCTGGGGCCTACAAGAGGCCAGTGGTGATTGGGATGCTTAAAATTATAGAGCTTGAACAACATTTCTTTACGAAATATCTTTCTGAGTCTCTAGAGATAGGAATTCTAGTTCAAAGAGTGACAGTCTCCAGTTTCACAACCTGCATTTTCTCACCAAGTAGGTGCGAAAGGACAAAAGAAAAAAAAGAAAAAAGAAAAACAAAGGAGAATGCTACCAGGGATCCTGAAAAATCTGTAATAATAACAACAATGTCTTATTAAGATTGAAATAAAGCAAATACCTGGTGTTGACAAGGGTGTGGAGGGGGCTGGCACTCTCTCATCCAGTGCTGGTGATAGCGTAAATTGGAAAAATCTTTCTTGAGGGCAATTTGGAAATATGTAGTAAAATCCTAAAAAAAAAAAAAACGAGAGAGAGAGAGAGAGAGAGAGAAAAGAAAATCCATGCCCTTTCTCTCAGCAATTTCACTTTTAGGACTTTATCTTAAGGAAATAATCAGAGAGATGTGTCTAAAGGTATCTTTACATAGATTATCACTGTATCATTACTTATACAGTGAAATTAACTGGGTATATAATAGAGATTCAATTAAGCAAGTTTGAAACGTGAATTATAAACCATTGAAAGCCACACATCTGAGTATATTTCTATATGAGCAGGGAGAACAGACTGGAGGGAAACCAAAAATGCTAAAGATAACTGGATATAAGACAAGATACAACATTAAGACAGGACTAATTTGCACTTTTTGCTCATTTTTTCTTGTTTCTCTCTCTTTTTTTTTTTTTGCACATGTACATTATTTGGAAAAAAGATACAAACTAAACAAACAAAAACAAACCTTCAATACTAAAGGTATAAATACTAATACTTTGGTAACCCCTTAGAGTTACCAAAGTAGCTCTGAGTACACATGCTTTCTCATCTGCTGTGTCCAAGAACATACATGGGGTGGATAAGGAAAGTTCTCATTTTCCCAAAGATAAAGATTAGATCCAGAGATTTTACACAATATCTTGAAATAGTTCTGTAACCACAGCTGGTCTGTGTAAAAACCTGCAATTAGAATCAGTGTCTAATGATACAATCTAGGTAAACGGATAGTCTGTAAATTAATGACAATGTACATTTAAAAGTGAGATGAAGCAGTAAGATACTTCAATTTCTTGTGTATTAGGTTACACATACTTTAATTTTAAAACATCAAATTTTAGTTAGCATAAATCATGTGAAGATGTAAAATATGACTTTTTTTCTTTAAGGGTTAAGATGTTGCTAGACCCAGGAGATAGGAACAAATTGTTAATATATCACTTTTTTAGAAGAAACACATTCTGACATTTGTTAATTAAACTTTTCTGAAGGTTTAATGCATTGTCAAGATAAGACATATTTTCAGGAAAGCCTTGTGATCTTACCAAGCTTTAAAATAATCCAAAACCTAGTTTTGACATTCTACCTAATGTAGATAAAAGAGTATTTTAAGCTCATGCAAATCTAAAGAAACAGGGAAATTTGATTCATCCTATTAATTAGTAGGTAACAACATAACGAGAGAGAAATCTTGCTTATTTTCTTCTAAAAGGATGATTAATGCAGGTTTAAAAGCCTTTTTGGTTTTGCAAAATTAATACTGTTTAATTATATGAGATTAAACTTATACCACACCATATATTTTATTTGGTGGAGATGGGGTCAAGAAAATTGCAATGTTTTACGAAGATCACCTTTTGCACTTTTCTGATATTGAATAAACATGACAATTATAAATTATAAATGCTGGCAATATTTAAGAGGTTCCTTGTGTCTTTTAATTTTATCTTAAGAATTTCTCCCTGGAGACCACTCATTTTCTTGGGGTCATCCTTCTGTTCAATGAAATGAACTGAGACCAAAGTTAAGGATAAAACCCATGCACTGGACATTATCGGATTACAGTAAAGGTGTTATCAGAACAAAAGCTTCCTACAGTTTGCGTAAATGTAATTAATGTGAGTTTGGTGGAGAATTGGATAAAGCACTTATTTGCTCAGGCTTATGAAGAATCCGGGAAGCCCCGGCCTGTGGTCATTTTCCAGAAGGCAGCATGTAGGGTGGACAGTGAGCTATGGCTTCTTACCCTGCGAACTTCAGCCAGAGTATCAGACTCCCTGTCCCGCTTTCCTCATCTATACAACAGGCCATAGTGCAGGCTGCACCAGATCTTTGCATTGAGTGAAGGTGATAATGCACATAAAGGGGATGGCACATTAAAGGCATTTCATAAATGTAAGTTTCCTTCCCTCTTCCTGCCCCCTTAGCAAAATATTAGGCCGTCAATATTCTGGTATCAAACACAGTGCCTCTAATCATCCAAAGATAAAGCACATCTTAAAACTGGCTAAATTGGAATTAAATATTGGTCTGAACTGATCATTATAAATAAATGGAGCAAATGTTACAAAATATCTAGACATTTTGTGTAATGACAGCTTTTTTACAGAGGAGAATGGAAATTGGGTGGGGGGGAAGGCACAAACTAATAATGAATATCTATGTAAACTACTAATTGGAGCTCTGATTTGGGGTCAGTCCCTCCAAAAAGTTACAGAAATAAAACAAGGTTTATTAGTTCTCTGGATTCAAACCTGATTCTACAACATCAGAAAACGTAAAAAAGGAGTACTGGCCTCCAGATCCTAAATGAAATGAAAATACCCAGTTTAAATCTTCGTTTTGAGATTAGGTAAATGCTGCACGGTGCTGTCCACATTACTGAAGGAAGTGACTCCTAATCCTGGAATCTCTCATGGGAAATTGTCTTGCTGGCAGATTCAAGATGTCTAGTCGTTCAGCCACCAAAGTGACTTCACCACTGGAGATGAAATGACAGAGGACGCTTGAACTTCACCTTCAATTCTCTACATAAAACTTAGAACAGTAGGCGTGCCTGGGTGGCTCAGTCAGTTAAGCATCTGCCTTCAGCTCAGGTGATGAGATCATGATCCCAGGGTCCTGGGATCGAGCCCCGCATTGGGCTTCCTGCTTAGTGGGGAGTCTGCTTCTTCCTCTGCCCCTCCCCTTGCTCATGCTCTCTCTTGCTCTTTCTTTCTGTCACATAAATAAATAAATAAAATCTTAAAAAAAATAGAATAGTAGCTGCTCGCACTTCCTTCACAGTGTCTAAAACACTTACATGTGTTTTCTATTTGTCAACAAGACTGTACAAGAGTTATTAAGTGTCATGAATTTCCATTTTAAGAAATATGGGACCAAGGCTCAAAGATCTAAGGCTATTTGTTCAAGGACTACTTACCGATCCATGGAACTCCATATATAGGCAATTTGTGATCCTGGATTGGAATCTGGATCTAAAGCAAAGGCAAACATGCTGAGAAAAAAAAATGAGAACATAGGGAGTTTTGCTGCCGATGGATTATGAGTTCCAGAGGCAGGGTGAAAGGGTTCAGGCAGTTGGGAATGGCCGGGGAAGGGTCAGGGGAGGGGATTTGTGGGGATTCATGACAATCAGACTGTGAACAATGAGAAGTGGGGGATTTAAGGCCAGGGACATCTGGGGCAGGAGGGCAGCATTGAGGATAAAGAGCTGAGCGAGACAGTTCCACACGGACTCAAGGCAGACATGGTGGGTAGGCTACAAACACAAAATAATGACATTATTGGGATATTTGGGGGCATGAGAACATGGAGTATGTAGTAGACTTTATATAGAAAGAGAGCACATACAAATTAAGTAAAATGTTAATAATCCAGAAATCTCAGTGAAGCCTATATAGGTATTCATTGTTCTATTCTTGTAACTTTCATGTTGGCTTGAATATTTTTAAAATAAAAACTCAGGGGACAAAGAGAGAACCTTATGGAACCAAGCAAGAGGTCTGCATAAAGCAGAGCCCATATTCAGTACCAGAATTTATCAGCAGTAAACCTCTCTAAGCTCCTTTACTTCCCAAAGCTGCCTCTTTCTCTCACAGGATGCGATAAAAAAAAAAAAAACAAAAAAAACATGGTCTTGCCTGAAGGCTGGGCTGCTCTGAATTCCAGCCCTCCTTCTGACGATCCTCTCCAAGAGAGACATCTGTGGGGTTTGATGCCCTCCGTCTAAGCCTCAAACAGTTCTCAACGTTGATTCTTGGACTTTACCCCTTTGACATCTGTGAAAACCATGCACCTTTCTCTGCATGAGCTTCTAAGTACCAAAATAATAATAATATTAATAATAATAATAAATAGATGGGATTATAGAGGAAACTGATTATATTCAAATATAGTTTTATAAATATAATTCTAAAGTATAGTAGAGCAAGTGTGAGTTTCTTTATTGAGGCATTAAATAATAAGAGTTAGCCATGGGTTTAATAACTACCATGATTCAAAATAGCGACTAGTGTAAACTGTATGTGGAGAGATCTACAACTATAAAGAGGTATAAAAATATCAGTGGTTCTTATTGATGACAAAGTGCAGCTAGTGCTAATACTATCATTCAGAGTTGAAAGTGATGATATATTTCTGGTTGTCATTAGTGCCTGTCTAAAATGACAGACAGACCTCAGGCTAAGAATCCTGGTAAGGAGATAAGATACACATGAGCCAAGCTCTGTGTTGGATTTACTAGGACCTCCTACAATTATTTTCTGTGACTCTGAGAGTTTTGCTAACTGTAAACCAATAATTAAGTGGTTCTTATGGTCCCCTGGTGTCTTGTGTCCACTGCTGAAGACTATTATATGACATCATGGTGTATTTTCATGACCTTCTCCAAAAGCCGTAAGAGTGGGGCTGTGTAACTATCCATCTTTGGAGCACCTATTATCTGGTCCTCAACATATCACTTATAAAGTTTTTGAAGATAAATGCTATATTTTTAGGTCTTATCTGTATTTCATGTTTAAATTAAGAGCTCCATTAGTATCTGCTCTCCAAAACCTGTTTCAACTAAACCAACTAAACAAATCAGGCTTAATTTCGAACGCACTTTGATGATTTTTTCCAAAATATTATAAATTAAATTTTAGAAGTCTTTCTATTAAGACTTCTCATTTATAAAAAGAACAGGTAAATACAGAACATTCACCTAGCTTATTCAATGGACAGTGAGAGGTTCAGGAGTTAAGTTCTATCATGTGTTGACTTATCAAGCTAAGCCTTGAGATTGAAGACTATCCAAACTCTGCCCACTTTATTTAGATTCCACCTCATTTGGGTGGCTTCCAATAAGAACATAAGGAATGACGTAACTAGAAAAAAAAATAAATGTGCATAAGAAAAAAGTAGTCCAGGTAAGGAAACAAATAGGAAAAAAATTATAAGAGATAGTTATTACAGGTAAGCCTCCAAGAGATCACATGAAAAGGGATCGATTGTCATTAATTTTAGAAGAAAAATTGAAACTTCCAGTTTACACAGGAAATCAGGTTTTTCTAAGAAGTGAATGTCAAAGTAGGAACCTTAGAAAGGAGCACTGAATGGTGACGAGGACAATATTTTCAGAAACATTCTCATAGCAGAGAATGGAATTGGGGTAAATATAGCTGATCTTGTCATATCCTGATGACTTGGCTGTGATAAGAGTGTGAGTTCTAATGGACTTTTTTTTACCATATGTGAATTTCAAATCAATCCCCAGCACTGGGGCTGGTAAGGTCTTAGATAGTTTCCAATGATCCCACCTCATAGCATGCATGTCCTTGTGTGATCTTCACCCCTTGAGTGTGGACAGGATCTGTGACTTGTTTCTAACCAATAGAATACAGTGCACTTGATGAGATGTTAACTCCCTGATAATGCTACATAGGATTGTAACTTCCATCCTGCTTACAAACTTTTGACTCTCTCCCTTGCTGGTTTTTATGGAGTAAGTCTTCTTATGGAGAGGTCCATTGGGCGAGAAACTGAAAGCAGCCTCCAGCCAACAGTACTGAGCAAGGAACTGAATCCTTCCAATAGCACATGAGCTTGGAGGTGGATCTTTTTAGAGGAGAGCCTCAAAAGGTATCCCAACTCTGGCCAACATCTTTAGCAGTAGCCATGCCTTGGCCAACACCATTACATAACCCTGTGAGACCTTGAGCCATGCTCAGATTCCAGACCCACGGAGACTGTGAGGTAATAAATACATGTTGTCTTAATCTGGTAAGATTGTAGTAACTTCTTATGCAACAATAAATAATATGCAATACACAGTAAACAAGACACGTCTTCAAGATATGTAAAGCAGAGTATGTGCTTATGCTCGGCTGAACGTGCCACTCAGGCAATGCTTTGGAATATCAGGTAGTGGTTTGTTTTAAGGTTGTGTTCACCTTTCAAGCTTTTGATTTTGACATCTCTGTCTCTCATTAGTACAGATGTCAAATCACAAGCACATGGTTTATATGTGAAGAACTTTTCCATGGACTCAGAATTAGAGAGATAAAATGTGTGTGTTCAGGTAATTAGAAAGTCGTAAAAACATAAAAAACAAAAGGGAAACGTGTGTATTGTTGGGCTCATGACAGGTGGCATGGGAAAATTCCACTAGCTTCTTCAAGCCTCTCCATGTAGTTTGACACACAATCCAGGAAGAACCAGTGTGTTTAAAAGAAATATGCATACATACTCACAGGGGAGCTGGGGGTGTGAGGATGTTCAGTACAGAGAATGATCTGTTTTGGAATAAGAGCTCTAGAGACTGAGAAGTGGGAGAAATAAATTCTTCATTTGGTTATTCATTCAACAAATAACTTTTGGCTTGGCTTCCAAGAACCAGGCCCTTCTAGATGGTGGAGATAAAGAAGGGGGGAATCTAGCCTTACCAACAAACTCACAATCTAGCATGGATAAGAGCTCTGATGCAGTCTTGTAGAAACAGATTCTAGCAGATACTTTACGTGCATTGGCTTATTTGATTCAGAAAACAAAAGTCTAATTGAAGTTTGGGAGTCATAGAGCAAGCAAAGTGCAAAGCTGGAATTTGATCCTGAGTCTTCTGACTTTAGAAATTGCTTTTGGCCCTGTTCCTGTCTTCTGGCTTAAAAAGAGTCTCTCACTTTACAAAAGTTATCATGTTATTATAAAACATTTAGAAAATATGAGAAAATAAGTGGACAAAAACATTCACTTGATCTCACTGCCATTTCTGTACAGCTATCATTCTGGAAAGTTATAGGTATTTTAGTGGACAGATGGACAGATAATTATCTATGTGAGTCTAGTTGGATAAGCAAGTTGTGTTTGATTTTCCAAGCCCTTTGAGGTTTCTTGCTTTGAGGGATTTTTGCTGGAAGCTACTTAAAATCAGCAGCTCTTCTGACTCTCTTAAAAGCCTAACCTCATAGAAAAGATGATGTTTCCTTATCCCATAGAAAGAAAGAGAGGGGTTCTCTTAACTGATCAAAAGGAGAAAGAAGCACTTTCTAGACAGTTAAGAGATTAAAAAAAAAAAAAAGCGATGGATCCTACTTAGGGGGGTGAGACACGGTGGTGGAGGTGGGGAGCCCTCAGAGAAGGGAAGCTGTGGAGTTCACCAGAAAGGGTAGACCCCAGGGACAAGGCCAACCCCAAACATGGCACAAAAACTAGCAGCACCTGTGCATCTAAAGGACCACAGGGTCATGTGCCTTGGCATACAGCATGGAAGAAATAGCATTTACCTGAGCTAATGACCTGTGACAAATGACCTGGGGGATCCTTCCAATAATTTGGGTCTCCTTAAGACCCAGGGATTCCTGCACAACTCTGAAAAGGGGAAAACTCCAGTTATGGGTGAGAGAAAATATTCTAAAAAAATATTCTGCATTCTTGCACCAGGGGTGCTGGGAGGCAGATGGAAAGAAAACATAACACTTCTGACACCCCTGACTTTATGGACTAATAGCCACAAAATCCATGCTTGCTCTGCCAGCTCTGTAAATATTAATTTAGAGAGTATGACCTAGCAGACACTTTTAAGGGATACTAAGACAGATAAGGCAGGATCTCTTCACTTGTAGTCTATTGAAAAAAAATAAAAATAAATAAGCCTTTTAAGAATTGTATATATCAAGTGTCCAGTGGATCCAGATGATGCCTTTCTCAATTTTGCAAGTGATAGTCAATCAGTTAGGCTTCTCCAGAGAAATAGAACCAGTAAGACAGACAGACAGATAGATGATTAGATAGATAAATAGATAGATAGATAGATGGATAGATAGATAGATAGATAGATAGATAGATAGATAGATAGATAGAGAATTATCTCAGGGAATTGGCTGATGTGATTGTGGAATCTGGCTGGGCAAATCCTAAATTTTAGGGCAAGCCAGCAGGCAGGAAACTCTCAGGCAGAAGTAGATGCTACAGACTTGAGGCAGAATTTTTCTTCCCCTAGAAGACCTCAATGTTACTTGTAAGGCCATTGAATTGATTAAGGTACACCCAGATTATCAAAGATAAACTTTATTTAAAATCAACCAATGACAGAGGGGGGCGGAGCAAGATGGCGGAGGAGTAGGAGACCTAGATTTCGTCTGGTCTCAGGAATTCAGCTGAATAGGGATCAAACCATTCTGAACACCTACGAACTCAACAGGAGATCGAACAGGAGAGTAGCAACAACTCTCTGAACAGAGAAGCGACCACTTACTGGAAGGTAGGACGTGCGGAGAAGTGAATCCGAGGCGATATTCGGGAGGATAGACGGCGGGGGAGGGGCCTCCGTCGGCCGCTTCTGGCAAGTGATAGAGCCGCGGAGCACAAAATCGGACCTTTTAGAAGTTGGCTCGGCGGAGGGACGTCGCTGCAGTGGCTAAGCGGGGGGTGGAATCCTCCCGGGACAGTGTGGTCTCAGGACCCTTGGGGTCACAGAGAGACCAGGGGTTCCTGAGTGCGCCAGAGCTCCCAGGTATCGGAGCGGGGAAGCCGGCTGCAGAGACAGAGCTGAGGCGCGGGCTCTCAGCTCAGGGTTGCCATAAACTGTGATCTGCGGCCCAGTCGGGGCACGGCTCCCCCAGCAGGGACCCAACAAGCAGCAGATCCGGGGAGACTCCCCTTCCATCCCGGGGAGGAGCGGTGCGGGAACGCACTGCAGGGATCTGCTGGGTTTGGAGACTCCACACGGGGTCGGGTGCCAGAGATAGCAACGCTCGGTCACAGGCCGGGTGAGCACGGAGTGCGGCCGGAGACCGGGGAGATGGGAGTGACTGCTTTTCTCTGGGGACACACTGAGGAGCGGGGCCCCGAGTTCTCAGCTCCTCCGGGTGGAGATTGGGAGGCCACCATTTCTGCCCTGGTCCTCCAAAGCTGTACCGAGAGCTTGCAGGGAACAAAAGCTCCTGAGAGCAAACCGGAGCAGCTTCCTTAGCCCGGACCGACAAGGGCGGGGCAATTCCACCTCCAGCAAAGACATTTGGAAACCACAGCAACAGACCCCTCCCCCAGAAGATCAGCACAAACAGCCAGCAAGCCAAGACCAAGTTGATCGATCAAGGAGAACGGGAGAACTCCAGCGCTAGGGGAATACTGCACATAGATTCATGGCATTTTCTTTTTTTTTTTACCATGATTCATTATTTCATCAAAGTTAATTTTTGTTGACTGTTTTTTTTATTTTTCTTTTTCCCTTTTTCAACCAACATCTTATCAATCCCTTTTTTAAAAAAAAAAAAAACATTTTCTATTTTTCATTTTTAGAGTCATATTTTATCCCTTCATAGTAGTTACCCTTATTTTTGGCATATATATATAAGTTGTTCTCTCTTTAAAATTTTGAGGTACAGTTTCTTCTAACAGATCAAAATATACCCTAAATCACTAGTGTATGGCTCTGTTCTAGTCTCCTGCCTGATCACATTCTCTCCCTTTTTCCTTTTTTTTTCTTTTTTTCTTAAATCTTCTTTCTTTTTTCAAACAACTTATCTTACCAAGTCCTTTTATAAAATCTTTTATACTTTTCATCCTTACAATCATCTTCCATCCCTTCATTGTATCAACCCTTATTTTGTACATATATGTCTTTCTTCCTTTAAAATTTTAGGAGGCACTTTTTTCTAACAGACAAAAATACGCCCAAAAACTAGTGTGTGGCACTGATCTATGCACTAGCCTGATCATATTTGATCATATTCTGCTTTTTTTGTATTGTTTTGTTTTTGTTTTTATCTTTTTTTCTTTTTTTTTTCTTTTTCTCTTTCTTTATTCTTTCTTTCCCTTTCTTTTCCCCTGATTTCAGGTCTTTTCTGATTGGTATACAGTATATTTGCTGGGGACGTTGTAAACCTGT